AGGTAGATGCAGCTACTAAGGCAGCAGACACAGCTACTAAGGTAGCAGACACATCTACTAAGTCAGCAGACACAGCTACTAAGGCAGCAGACAGCTACTAAGGCAGCAGACACAGCTACTAAGGTAGCAGACACGGATACAGAGAGAACACTGCGTCATTCATCAGCATCTAAGCCAGTATTATCTGAACGTTCAGTGAAGACACTTGCCCCATTCATCTAACCCATGAAGCAGGTGTACAGGTGGGCTCCCACTAAGCACTCGCTTTATGGCGTTTCACTAATGCGGCGGGTTTCAGTTATACCCGTTCTTCATTTGTTCAGACATCTTACAATAAATATTCACCACTCACTATAATCTAAGGACGAAAATATTTTAAGGTAAGTAATGTGTGTACTGTACATGCATTTTTAGGCCTATCTCTGTTGCTCACTTAATAAATGATAGTGTAAACATGTTATTAGGCTTTTATATGCATGTTTCACTTTACAGCAGTAGCCCCAAACCTAACCTGCTGTATAAGCGAGGCCCCACAGTAGTCCAGAACTTTACCTGCTGTATAAGCGAGGCCCCACAGTAGTCCAGAACTTAACCTGCTTTATAAGCGAGGCCCCACAGTAGTCCAGAACTTAACCTGCTTTATAAGCGAGGCCCCACAGTAGTCCATAACTTAACGTGCTGTATAAGCGAGGCCCCACAGTAGTCCAGAACTTAACCTGCTGTATAAGCGAGGCCCCACAGTAGTCCAGAACTTAACCTGCTGTATAAGCGAGGCCCCACAGTAGTCCAGAACTTAACCTGCTGTATAAGCGAGGCCCACAGTAGTCCAGAACTTAACCTGCTTTATAAGCGAGGCCCCACAGTAGTCCAGAACTTAACCTGCTTTATAAGCGAGGCCCCACAGTAGTCCAGAACTTAACCTGCTTTATAAGCGAGGCCCGACAGTAGTCCAGAACTTAACCTGCTGTTTAAGCGAGGCCCCACAGTAGTCCAGAACTTAACCTGCTGTATAAGCGAGGCCCCACAGTAGTCCAGAACTTAACCTGCTGTATAAGCGAGGCGCACAGTAGTCCAGAACTTAACGTGCTGTATAAGCGAGGCCCCACAGTAGTCCAGAACTTAACGTGCTGTATAAGCGAGGCCCCACAGTAGTCCAGAACTTAACCTGCTGTATTAGCGAGGCCCCACAGTAGCATGCAACCTATCCTGCTATATAAGCAGGGCCAGACAGTCTACCTGGAGGGTATTCTGGGGATCAACGCCCCCGCGGCCCGGTCCACGACCAGGCCTCCCGGTGGATCAGGGCCTGATCCAACGTACGAACCACAGCCCGGCTGATCCGGCACCAACTTTAGGTATCTGTCTAGCTCCCTCTTGAAGACAACCAGTGGTCTACTGGTAATGGCCCTTATTGCTGGTGGGAGGCTGTTGAACAGTCTTGGGCCCCGGACACTTATTGCAGAACATAATTTGCTGTTTAAGTGGGGCCTTCTTGTATCTATTTTTCCTGCTTGATCAGTAGAATTTATAATCGCAGATGATTTTGCAATTGCAAAGATGATGTATGTACATTGCAACAGCCTTAAGTGATGTTGATATTGGCACTGATGTGGTAACTATCAAGGCTGCTGAGTACTGTCTGTATGATGGTATGTGGACTGACAGTATGAGTGGCACTGCCCAGTACTGCTAGTATGATGGTATGTGGACTGACAGTATGAGTGGCACTGCCCAGTACTGCTGGTATGATGGTATGTGGACTGACAGTATGAGTGGCACTGCCCAGTACTGCTAGTATGATGGTATGTGGACTGACAGTATGAGTGGCACTGCCCAGTACTGCTAGTATGATGGTATGTGGACTGACAGTATGAGTGGCACTGCCCAGTACTGCTAGTATGATGGTATGTGGACTGACGTATAGGGAATGCCAGTATGCTGGTATGATGTATGTGGACTGACGTACTGAGTGGCACTGCCAGTACTGCTAGTATGATGTATGTGGTGACGTATGGAGTGGCAGCCCAGTAGCTGCTAGTATGATGGTATGTGATGACGTATGAGGTGGCATGCCGTACTGTAATGATGGGTATTGTGGACGACAGATGAGTGGCACTGCCAGTGCTGTAGTATGATGGTATGTGGACGACAGTTGAGTGGCACTCCCAGTACTGCTAGTTGATGGTATGTGACTGACATATGAGTGCATGCCCATACTGCTGTATGATGGTATGTGACTGACGTATGGTGGCACTGCCCAGTGCATTGCTGTTGTGGTATTGGACTGACGTCATGAGTGGCCCCACTATGCCCGTGCTGCTAGTTGTGGTTATGTGGACTGACAGTATGAGTGCACTGCCCCGTACTGTAGTATGATGGTATGTGGACTGACAGTATGAGTGCACCCGCCCAGTGCTGCTGTTGATGGTATGTGGACTGACAGTTGAGTGGCAATGCCAGTAATGCTAGTTGATGGGATGTGGACTAAGCAGTTGAGTGCACTGCCAGTATCTAGTATGAGATATGTTTGGGCTGACAGTATGAGTGGCACTGCCCAGTACTGCTGGTTTGATGTATTGGACTGAAGTATGAGTGGCACTGCCCCGTACTGTGGTTGATGGTTTGTGGCTGACGTAGGTGGCACTGCCGTATGTAGTTTAGGTATCTGGCTGACAATGAGTGGCACTGCCCCGTACTGCTAGTATGATGTATGTGGATGACAGTATGGTGGAGCCCCCGTAAATACTGTATGATGTATTTGGGGCTGCGTATGAGTGGCATGCCCGTACTGCTAATTGATGGTTGTGGACTGACAGTAGAGTGGCACTGCCCAGTACTGTTATGATGGGGTGGAAAGACAGTATGAGTGGCAGCCCCGTGCTGCTAGTTTGATGGTATGTGGGTGACAGTATGAGTGGCATGCCGTGCGTAGTATGATGGTATGGGACTGCAGTATGAGTGGCATGCCCCTCTGTAGTTGATGGTAGTGGTGACGTATGAGTGGCACTGCCCAGTACTGTATGGTGGTGGGGTAGCAGGAATGCCTTGGATCAAGAGCCCTTGAGCGTCAAGGCAGCAGGTACCTTGAAGAGTGGTGTATGGAGGTGGGGTGGGTGTAGATTAGTGTCCGGGGTGTGCCGCACTAACCCTCATGGGCTATTTTGGAGCACCCGACCCTGCATACTGAGACACCCAACCCTCCTCCACCCATTCTCTCTCTCTCTCTCTTCTCTCTCTCTCTCTCTCTCCTCTCTCTCTCTCTCTCTCTCTCTCTCTCTCTCTCTCTCTCTCTCTCTCTCTCTCTCACTCTGCCTCTCATTCTTTTTCTGACTATCTCTCAATTCTCCCTCTATCTCTCTACCTCTTCTACAGTACGATAGCAGTTATTGGTAACAACAGTAGGCCTACTGGCCCATGCTAGGCTGGTCCAACTCAAACCCACTCATACACCCTCCCAACTTATTTTTAAAACCTCTTCTAAAGCCTCTTAAAGCCTCTTTTAAATCCTCTATTAAAACCTTTTTTAAAGCCTCTCTTTTAAAGCCTTTCAGTGACGCAGCCTGGAGTTTGTACCGCTCATCTACAACTCTATTGCCAAACAATTGTTTTCCTGTATCCTTTCTAAACCTAAATTTATCTAACTTGAATCAATTGCTGTGACTTCTGTCTTGGTTAAATATAGCTCTGTGTGACTTTATTACGATACTTGGTTAAATAAGGTTTGCTGTAGAGCTTTATTAATCGATAACGCTTATGAAACTAAGGTTTAGACAGTACCCAAAAACGTATTTATTAAAAACCTCACATTGGCAGGACGTTATGGGAACTGTACTCTAGGTCCGACATTTACATTACAAGTCACACAAATAGTTATTTAATGATCGACACTAGTAACCTGTCTCATTGTATGGCGTTTTTGTGATGTTTCGGTCCGATTGTACCATTTTTCAAGTAACAAGGTGGAGATTGTAAGGAGATTCCCTCGTAAGTTCCTCTCTCTCCCAGGTGACGTGTTTTTGTTGTGATTAGTTCCAGGTACATGTTAGTTGTAACGATCTTTGCCTTCAGACAGCATTCAGATGCAATAAGGCGGAGCAGGTGTTGGATGCACTACCCCCTATAACTCTCTTTCGTACGGATTGATCACCACACGCTTTACTCTTAATGGTTGATGCAGGGGCTGGAGCCTCAAGCTACCGATTAACATGTTATTGGTAGGTAAGCAGTGTGTGACACCACACAGCAAATATCATAAAAGTAATTGGTGGTAGCGGTGGTGGTAGCACCACACACCCGCTATTACCTCTCATAATTGGTGGTAGCGGTGGTGGGTAGCACCACACACCCGCTATTACCTCTCATAATTGGTGGTAGCGGTGGTGGGTAGCACCACACACCCGCTATTACCTCCTGTAATTGGTGGTAGCAGTGGTGGGTAGCACCACACACTCGCTATTACCTCCTATAATTGGTGGTAGCAGTGGTGGGTAGCACCACACACCCACTATTACTTCTCATAATTGGTGGTAGCAGTGGTGGGTAGCACCACACACCCACTATTACCTCCTATAATTGGTGGTAGCAGTGGTGGGTAGCACCACACACCCGCTATTACTTCTCATAAATGACTAAACACACCTCACTGTTGCTCTACCCGGAAGTAAGACGAATTCTGGGGAAAATCGACTTGTGTACCAGTTTGTTTACTTTGAGTCGACGAGTCTAGATGTAGCATGTTTATGTGGTGTGTGTGTGTGTGTGTATGTTGTGCCGTGTGTGTATATTGTGTTTTGTATGTATTTATGTCGTGTGTATATCTTGCATATTGTAGTACACTATCAATCATACTTCATAGTATGGCTGATAGTGTAGTCACACTATAGTGTGCTGGGTGGTGTGTGGTGATGCTGACACACGTCATAATATAGTGTAAAGCAAGTTATTGGTGTTGTCAATGTCCTGTTCTCCTACACCAGCACTTCATACTCTCTTATTTACAGTGATATAAAGATGGTGTTAGCAAGTGTTGACTGACTAGGAAGATGTGGGTAGTGGGTAGTGATGATTGTGTACGAGGAGTGGTATGGGCCTGCCTATGGGGCCCCAGGGGAGGCAGGTAGGGGCCCACACTGCTCCATACATCATGGGCCTTACTGAAAGCAACCAGAGTAAGGGTGGTGGAGGTTGGGGGCCCAGTAAGTCCCGTAGTACCCCACATTTTCCCGACGGTCGGTCCTATCAGAACCGACCCCGACAAGCGGCCACCTTACCAGCACGACCCACTCCAGACAGTGGTCACCCTCCGGCTTATAACCACCCTCGCACTCCCGTGCACTGACCCTGGCTCCATGGGGCACGACCCACGCCCACCGGAAACGCCTTTACGCCGCCGGGATGGTACCTCGCTGGCCGAGCGAAGTTCCGGTCATCGATCTATGCCCCCACGTCGCTCAGCCTCCGCTGACAGCATCAAGTGGAGGTGTGACCCGCTCCTCGACTCCGCTACCTTAAAGCATATCCCGCAAGTGAAGCCTCTCCAGGTTGATAGTTTCGCTCTGTTTCCCACACCTGAGCCCACCGTCTCACCCCCCTCCAGTCCTCGACAGAACTCCCGACCACGACCCACTGCAATATACGTGGCTGACGACCAAGCTGCCCACCTTGTGAGGCACCGTGAAGGCCGCCCCAGGACACGTGGTCACCAGGCTCGGTCACCCCACTCAGGCACACACGGGGTGCCTGGTGAAGAAGGTAAGGAGAGGGCTGTCAGTTCATGCGAGAGACGCCCCAAAGGTATCCACGTGTCAACGCTGACATTAACGCCACAATACCCTAGAGAGAGTGCACCCCGCCCTGAAGATCAGCCTCGTCCCACGCCGCGCCACCACAGACGCAAAAAGGAAAACAAGAAAACGCGGCCGAGGGTAGAGTACAGTGCGTCAGAAGGTGTGCAGGGTGACCCTTACGTGTGTCTTCATTACGGTGGCACCCTGGATGATGGTCAGAGACAGCAGCTCCAGCAGGCCACAGCTTGGAGAACCCAACACCAAGAAGAAAAAGTTAGCTCAAACAATCAACTCTCACAGGTGGTAATCCGTATGAACCAGGTATCAACGACCACTCTTGACAACTATGACGCCGTCAATGCCAACATAGAGAGTGTTCAAGTGAGGAGGAATGTTTGGTTTCATGCCAACCGGACTACTGACGTGAGCACTGAGAGAGCGGCGTCAAGGACTAAAGGTATCAACATACCGACCGTAAATGACTATGTATCAGTAGGTGACAGGAGTGAGACAGAAATGATAGCGTGGCCGGACGTTACCAGCAAAGTGTCCTCAATTTACATGAGGCCGGAAATGCACGTGGGGGCAGTGTCGTGTATCAGGGAGGGTCGGGAGGCCATCTACGCTAATATCAACCCAGCAGTCAACCAAGCATCTACTCCTCAGGCGGGGCATCAAACCCCAGGAGCCGGGATCGTGAGGGCACGAAGACCAAGGTGTCAGAGAGGCAAAGAGTAGCAAGTCCAAGATGCCCACCAGTTACACAGTTTGGTGTATATGATGACAGAAGAAATTACGCCAAAGCTCCCTCAAGGAAAAAGAACACGTCAGTTTTGGTTCCTGTTGGTGCACAGAACAAAGAGGAAAAACTGGCAACTCTTCTCGCCATTAATTCAACGAGGCTAGAACTTTCTTCGCGGATTAAGGGCGAACCTATCTCAGGATTGTGTGGTGGTAAAACATTCTCGATCACACGATGAGAGTGAAGACCAGCCTGAAGATGACAGTAATTGTTCTCCAGGTAATGATCAGGTTGACAGCCTAGACTGTGCTTCAAACATCAACACTAAGGGCTTATCAGAGACTTCAAATTCTAATAATTTTGATTGTTTCCCTGAAAGACAACACCATAACATTGACACTCGTCTAAGTAATACTGAGGGTGAAGATAGAGATGAAAATGCCCGATGTTTAAATAATATCCACAACGTAGACAACAATCTCCTGACAGTAAATAATCACATTGAGGATTACACCATCATGGGAAATAATGGTGATGTTAGTCACTACTACGGGTGTGAAGATAGTGAGATGGTCAATGAGTTATCTTCGGGCACAAGAGGTGAGAATGAATTTGCAGCTCAGGAGAGGACGGGGTCCGGTAGTGTACATGAAGACTTGGTATGTGAGGAGATACACGATAACGTAGCATCAGTGTGTGATAGTGCTGATAAAGACCACTCTGGTACAGACACCCAGTGGTGTGGAATAAACAGTTCATTGTGTGCGTGGAGTGGGCCGGAAGAAGTTACTGGATATTCTCCTTCAAGAGTGACGGACACGCTTGAAGGAGCTGCTTATATACGTACTCGAGAGGCGGGTGAAAGCTTACTCAAAGACCAGTGTCCTCTGCCGTTTGATAGCTGGCATCAAAAGGGCGTGTCCGGAAATGTAGATGAGACAGAAAGTAGAGCATACAGAGAAGCCTTGCGTGTGTTAGAAGAGAAATATTGGGCAAGCACAGTGCCAGGGCTCCCCAGTGTTTCTAGTAGCCATCAGTGCCTCAGTAAGTGCAGCTCTTTACCACGAAACCTCCAGTGCACCTGTGCCGCCCACTCCATCACCGCTGAAAATAAGATGAAAGGTTTTAGAAATAGATTTAAGAGTTTAGACGTTAGTAACTTCTCAGTATTGCGGCTGCCGCTGGGAAACCAACCTAGACTTGTTGATGTCCTGCGTGGTTCTGTGTCCCAGGGCGATGCTTGCCCTAACCCGCCTCTGGGCACCGTCCTTGGGCATGAGGTGCACAAGCGGCACTCAGGTGAGCAGTCTGACAGCCAATGTGATTCCTCGTGTGATGGTGTTACGCTAGTGTCTTATTCTCAGTGTTGTCCCTCCCCGCTGGCCACGGCGAAGGAAACACGTGTAAACAGTCGTGGTATCTTAGCGGGTGGTGAGTGTGAAGGGGTGAATAGCCTCGAGTATGACAGGGTGAATAGCCCCGAGTGTGACGGGGTAAGCAGCCCCGAGTGTGACGGGGTAAGCAGCCCCGAGTGTGACGATGTAACGGAGGGTGAGCCTCACCTCTTCCTGGAAGACAGCGAGGTGACCACCATCAAGAAGGGTGCTGTTGGTGGCGTGTGTGAGAGTGTCGATGTGTTGCTGGGACAGCCCCGGGAGGAACACCCGGGCGGTGGCAGCTGGAAGCCAGGAGCGGAGAGCCATCAGGTAAACACAGTGAGAAGTGTTGCCCATACCTGGCACCCACGCACTGTGGGTCAAGACCTGGAATCATGTTCTACCCGGGAAGACCCACAGACTCCCACTGAATTAGGCAAGACAACCACAGACTCAGCCATTATCAAGGAAGAGGACAGTTTCTCTCGTCCAGTTGGTCGCCATGTCCACAAGAAGTTCTGGAGTCGACCCAGTGTCCACAGTATAGCCTGGGACACACCTCTGCCCTCCACTCCAGGTAAGTGTTGGCACAGGAGTGCCACAAACCTTCACTATTATGACGCAACAACACTATTTTGACGCATTCACCTTGCCTGCTGACGCAATGCATGTGTTCTAGTATGCGCTATTAATAATAATTTAGTGTGAGGACTAACTCATCAAGGCTGACCTTTCTGTAAGGGATATATCCCGAAAGTATTCCTCACAGAGAGATATCCCTTGAGATATTCCTCACAAGAGGCGATCATTTTGTACGAGAAAATAAACAGAATAATACACTGACGTAAAACATTTTAAATTAGATTCTTAGTAAAGGTTCTAGATAAAGTTTAGTTCTAAGTAAAGTTTGGTTCTAAGTAAAGTTTAGTTCTAAGTAAAGTTTGGTTCTAAGTAAAGTTTAGTTCTAAGTAAAGTTTAGTTCTAAGTAAAGTTTGGTTCTAAGTAAAGTTTGGTTCTAAGTAAAGTTTAGTTCTAAGTAAAGTTTAGTTCTAAGTAAAGTTTGGTTCTAAGTAAAGTTTGGTTCTAAGTAAAGTTTGGTTCTAAGTAAAGTTTGGTTCTAAGTAAAGTTTAGTTCTAAGTAAAGTTTAGTTCTAAGTAAAGTTTGGTTCTAAGTAAAGTTTGGTTCTAAGTAAAGTTTGGTTCTAAGTAAAGTTTGGTTCTAAGTAAAGTTTGGTTCTAAGTAAAGTTTGTTCTAAGTAAAGTTTGGTTCTAAGTAAAGTTTGGTTCTAAGTAAAGTTTGGTTCTAAGTAAAGTTTGGTTCTAAGTAAAGTTTGGTTCTAAGTAAAGTTTGGTTCTAAGTAAAGTTTGGTTCTAAGTAAAGTTTGGTTCTAAGTAAAGTTTGGTTCTAAGTAAAGTTTAGTTCTAAGTAAAGTTTGGTTCTAAGTAAAGTTTGGTTCTAAGTAAAGTTTGGTTCTAAGTAAAGTTTGGTTCTAAGTAAAGTTTGGTTCTAAGTAAAGTTGTTCTAAGTAAGTTTAGTTCTAAGTAAAGTTTGGTTCTAAGTAAAGTTTGGTTCTAAGTAAAGTTTGTTCTAAGTAAAGTTTGGTTCTAAGTAAAGTTAGTTCTAAGTAAGTTAGTCTAAGTAAAGTTTGGTTCTAAGTAAAGTTTGGTTCTAAGTAAAGTTTGGTTCTAAGTAAAGTTTGGTTCTAAGTAAAGTTTGTTCTAAGTAAAGGTTTAAGTTTTCTAAGTAAAGTTTGGTTCTAAGTAAAGTTTGGTTCTAAGTAAAGTTTGGTTCTAAGTAAAGTTTGGTTCTAAGTAAAGTTTGGTTCTAAGTAAAGTTTGGTTCTAAGTAAAGTTTGGTTCTAAGTAAAGTTTAGTTCTAAGTAAAGTTTAGTTCTAAGTAAAGTTTGGTTCTAAGTAAAGTTTGGTTCTAAGTAAAGTTTGGTTCTAAGTAAAGTTTGGTTCTAAGTAATGGGGTTTGATTGCGACTCTGTGTATTCTGGTGAAGGTTTTATATTCCTTTGGTATAACTGGGTATGCAGTTTTCAACCTTACACTCGTGTTTATTAAGCTCTTGTAAGAGCCACCTAGCCATGCCCATGAGTATTTTGTATGCCGTGATCATATCTCCTTCCTTTTGCTCTTCTTATTTCCAGTGACATAAAGCCTACCTGTGGTACCATTTGACCCACCATCCCACTTCTCCCCCCACCTAACCCACCCTCCCTTCGAACCAACGTGACCCACTCTCCCATCGTGCCCACCTGACCCACCCTCCCTTCGTACCAACCTGACCCACTCTCCCAGTGTCCACCTGACCCACCCTCCCTTCGTGCCAACCTGACCCACTCTCCCATCGTGCCCGCCTGACCCACCCTCCCTTCGTACCAACCTGACCCACTCTCCCACCGTGCCCGCCTGACCCACCCTCCCTTCGTACCAACCTGACCCACTCTCCCACCGTGCCCACCTGACCCAACCTCCCTTCGTACCAACCTGACCCACTCTCCCACCGTGCCCGCCTGACCCACCCTCCCTTCGTACCAACCTGACCACCTCCCACCGTGCCCACCTGACCCAACCTCCCTTCGTATCACCCTGACCCACTCTCCCATCGTGCCCACCTGACCCACCCTCCCTTCGTATCACCTGACCCACTCTCCCATCGTGCCCACCTGACTCACCCTCCCTTCGTACCAACCTGACTCATTCTCCCATCGTGCCCACCTGACCCACCCTCCCTTCGTATCAACCTGACCCACTCTCCCACCGTGCCCACCTGACCCACCCTCCCTTCGAACCAACCTGACCCACTCTCCACCGTTGCCACCTGACCCACCCTCCACCGTGTCCACCTGACCCACCCTCCCTTCGAACCAACTGACCACTCTCGCACCGTGTCCACCTGACCCACCTCCTTCGAACCAACCCAACCCACCCTCCCACCGTGTCCACCTGACCCACTCTCCCACCGTGTCCACCTGACCCACCCTCCCTTCGAACCAACCTGACCCACTCTCCCACCTGACCCACCCTCCGTGCCAACCAGACCCACCTTCCTAACCCACCCACCCACCTCTCTCACTGTTACATGATTGTATAAGTAGCGTCGACCCCAGAGCGTGTAAAGTGTATTGATGTCGGTGTCCGTCACTACACCATGTATACACACGAGTGTATCTTACCCGTATATGCATCAAGTAATGTGTATACTGTATTTCATTATATATACATCTGGAGGTGTATATCTTTCGATGCATGCACATGAGATGTGCCTGTATCAGAGTATATATACATATATATACACAGAAGTGTATTACATATATATATATATATATATATATATATATATATATATATATATATATATAATATATATATATATATTATATATATATATATATGTCGTGCCGAATATGTAAAACTGGTCAATTAGCAAGAACTCATTTAAAATTAAGTCATTTCTAAAACTTTCTCTTATACTTTTAAAGATATATTTTTTTCATTTATGTTAATGTGAAAATTAATAATTTTCTACCAAAAGAACCTTAGAAAACTTACCTAACCTCATTATAAAAACCCCAGTTTAATTTAGCCTAATCCACCTAAATATATTTTAGATAAGTTTACAATAATTTAATAATAAACACAACGAAATATATTTTTTTCGTTAGGTTCAGAATAATTTTTGCTAAATTACTGCATACACAAATTATCGCTTGCCTTATTCGGCAAGAAGAGCGTTGCTAGTTAAGCCAGAATCGCAAGTTTTACTTGTTCGGCACGAGATATATATAATATATATATATTATATATATATATATTATATATATTATATATATATATATATATAATATATATATATATATATGAGAAGGGTGATGATAGAGTGGCAAGAGTATGTTTGGGACAGTATTGTGAGGTTTATGGTGATGACAACTGTACTACTGGGGAATTAAGACGCTCATACAAGTGTATTTTATGTATGCGGCTGAGATGAAGCAGGGAGGGAGGCAGTGAGGGAGGCAGTGAGGAAGGCAGGAAGGGAGGCAGTGAGGGAGGCAGTGAGGGAGGCAGTGAGGGAGGCAGTGAGGGAGGCAGTGAGGGAGGCAGTGAGGGAGGCAGTGAGGGAGGCAGTGAGGGGGCAGGTGAGGGACGACAGTGAGGGGAGAGTGAGGAGGCAGTGAGGGATGCAGTGAGCGGCAGTGAGGGAGCAGTGAGGGAGGCAGTGAGGGAGGCAGTGAGGGAGGCAGGAGGGGAGGCAGTGAGGGGGGCAGTGAGGGGAGGGAGGGAGGCAGTGAGGGAGGCAGTGAGGGAGGCAGGTGAGGGAGGCAGTGAGGGAGGCAGTGGGAGGGGAGGGAGGCTGTGAGGGAGGCAGTGAGGGAGGCAGGGAGGGAGGCAGTGAGGGAGGCAGGTGAGGGAGGCAGTGAGGGAGGCAGTGAGGGAGGCAGGGAGGGAGGCAGTGAGGGAGGCAGTGAGGGAGGCAGTGAGGGAGGCAGTGGAGGGAGGCAGTGAGAGGCAGGGGGGGAGGCAGTGAGGGAGGCAAGGGAGGGAGGCAGTGAGGGAGGACAGGGGAGGGGAGGCAGTGAGGGAGGCAGTGAGGGAGGCAGTGAGGGAGGGGAGGCAGTGAGGGAGGCAGTGAGGGGAGCGGCAGGGGAGGGAGGCAGTGAGGGAGGCAGTGAGGGGAGGGAGCAGGGAGGGAGGCAGTGGAGGGAGGCAGTGAGGGAGGCAGTGAGGGAGGCAGGGAGGGAGGCAGTGGGAGGCAGGGGGCAGTGAGGGAGGCAGTGAGGGAGGCAGGGAGGGAGGAGGGAGGCAGTGAGGGAGGCAGTGAGGGAGGCAGGAGGGAGGCAGGGAGGCAGTGATGGGAGGCAGTGAGGGAGGCAGTGATGGAGGCAGTGAGGAGGCAGTGAGGGACGGCAGTGAGGGAGGCAGTGAGGGAGGCAGGTGAGGGAGGCAGGGAGGGAAGGCAGTGAGGGAGGCAGTGAGGGAGGCAGTGAGGGAGGCAGGGAGGGAGGCAGGGGGAGGCAGTGAGGGAGGCAGTAGGAGGGCAGGGAGGGAGCAGTGAGGGAGGCAGGAGGGAGGCAGTGAGGGAGGCAGTGAGGGAGGCAGTGAGGGAGGCAGGGAGGGAGGCACGTGGGAGGCAGGAGGGAGGCAGGGAGGGAGGCAGTGAGGGGGCATTTGAGGGAGGCAGGGAGGGAGGCAGTGAGGGAGGCAGGAGGGAGGCAGTGAGGGAGGCGAGTGAGGGAGGCAGGGGGGGAGGCAGGCAGGGAGCGAGGAGGGAGGCAGTGAGGGAGGCAGTGAGGGAGGCAGGGAGGGAGGCAGGGAGGGAGGCGTGGGAGGCAGGGAGGGAGGCAGGGAGGGAGGCAGGGAGGGAGGCAGGAGGGAGGCAGTGAGGGAGCAGTGGGCGGAGGCAGGTGAGGGAGGGCAGTGAGGGAGGCAGTGAGGGAGGCAGTGAGGGAGGCAGTGAGGGAGGCAGGGAGGGAGGCGGAGGGGAGGCAGTGAGGAGGCAGTGAGGAGGCATGTAGGGAGCAGTGAGGGAGGCAGTGAGGGAGGCAGTGAGGGGGCAGGGAGGGGGGCAGTGAGGGAGGCAGGGAGGGAGGCAGGGAGGGAGGCAGTGAGGGAGGCAGTGAGGGAGGCAGTGAGGGAAGGGGCAGGGAGGGAGGCAGGGGAGGGGAGGCGAGTGAGGGAGGCAGGGAGGGGGGCAGTGAGGGAGGAGAGGAGGGAAGGCAGTGAGGAGGAGGGAGCAGTGAGGAGCAGGGAGGGAGGCAGTAGGGAGGCAGGAGGGAGGCAGTGAGGGGGGCAGGAGGGAGGCAGTGAGGGATGGCAGGAGGGAGGCAGGAGGGAGG